GGAGAAGGATAGGGTACCGCTCGCCAATTTGTGAATCGAAGTGATCGAACGATGCGCCGCTTCGCGTTGCGTTTTAACGTGTCTGTTTTTTTGAAGAGGACGCGAAATACGAGACGTTCCACGAACGAAACGGTTCGAGTCGACACGGTGTAAAATATATTTATTATTCTTTTTTTTTTTAATCGTTCTTTATTGCGAACGGGCAATTGTATTCGTATCGACACGTGTTTAATTGAATAATACGATCGTATGCAACTTCTGAATATTGCTTCCTTTTGTTTTATAATTCGTTTCAATTTTATCATTTGTGAATTAGTGTTTTTTTTTTGGAATCGGTGAAAATTTTTACTCTTTTTATTTTTTTTTAATTAGAACAGAAATGCGATATTCGTGAATTTTTAATTATTTCCGATATTTCACGGATCATTTTATTTTACAAATTATCGGGTTAATATTTGTTTCGCGTTTGTGTTGCGGGGGAGCCTATGGAATTACTGTGGAGATTATTTTTAATTAAAATCGTACCTCCAAGAGTACGATGCGCGATTAAAATTATGTAGTTTTCGTTATTTTTATATCTGCTGATTTTAATATTAAAATATTAAAAATTCGCGCCCCTTTTAAGCGGGCTCTATTTTAAAGAATGGAATATTACAAAATTATGGTTCCCTCTTTATCCCTTGTTTAATATATATTTAATTTTATTTAAATTTCTTTCCCTTCAAATATATATATATATATATACATCCCTCGAACGATTAATTTATATTTATAATCCAATTAATTTATGTCGATATAATTAAGAACGCGAAACGAAATTAATCAATTACAATCTAAGCTTTTACATGTAACTGTCCATGTAACTGTCGATCCTTCCCTCACCACCCCTCCCCCCAATGCCATCCGCTATCCACCGTTATTAATATTCCTCCTTCGATATATAATTCCATTCGTAATTAATTTGTCGCCATAAATTAGACTTAGCCCAGGTATCGAGATATTTTTAATTAGAAAGAGGATAGGAGAATCGATCGAGCCACGCATAATCGCGCCTGGCAAATTCAAAGTATACGATACGATGTGCGATACGACACGATTCCGATTTAAAATCGATGATATCGCGAAGATTCGATCTTTTCGAGAAAGGGTTCCTTAAGCGCGATTAATCTCGACTCCTTCGTGGCTTCCTTCGATAATTTCGACGAAATTTCCCTGTTTTCCATTAACGATTAATTCATTACATTGAATTATTATAAATCGATGGTCTCGAATCGATCATCTCGACCCGTTCGTTCGCGACGGAATCTCTCTTTCCTCTCGCCTCTCCCACGTTACACACATTCTATTATTATATTAACACGGCGTGCCAACGCATACAAGCATCATAACCGAGGCGAGGATCACGATTTCGATGAAAACGAGGTTAGTTAGCAGCTCGTATGAATTGAATTTGAATCGAGCAGCTAATTTGCAAGACAAATGTTTGCCAAGGGAATCGGGTAATCTTAGCGAAGGGCTCTAACGCGATGGAGATTTTTTGTTTTCTTTCTCCTCCTCCTCCTCCTCGCCTCCCGAAGTAACTCGGCCGAGAAATATTTCGATTCAACCATCTCTCGAACCGAGTGAATTTCCCAAAGTTCGATATGAATTTTTGAATGAAATTCCTCGAGCGAGCAAAACGGAACCTTTCGTTTCGTTCAACGTGGAGGAAGGTATCGAACGCGCGCGTTTCTCAAGAAATTTTTCCAGAAAAAGTGGATTTCTCCACGAAAGATCGTGCGCAACGTTTCTCTTCCCAAAATTGAATTGTCGTGCCTGAGACTCGTCGCTAAGAGGTAAAAAATTTTATTTCCGATACATTCCGATACTTATCGCGAACGTTACAGAAAAATCTGTTTGCAAACAGATCGTGACGAGGGAAAATTTCGATCGAAATTTTCCCTCTGACAGATTTCTATGCGCTGAATCTCGATAAGAGGACGATTCGATCGCGAGCGGGAAATAAAATGTTGGAACGGAAATTACGAAAGGCGATGGATACGCTTCTTCGTTCTTTCTTCCAAGATACAATTTCTTCCATATATATATATATATGCGTTAAATCTTAAATGTTGATCGGTGAAAATTTTTTGACTCAGATTCGAATAACACGAGATTTTTTGAAACATTTTATGATATGTAAAATGTATAAAATACACGTAACAACTTTTAACGAAGCAAATAAGAAATTCATATCTTGTTTAGAGATACACATAGTCCTTCTCCGTGTTTCTATTGTTTTCTTTCTCCCGATAAGAAAAAGAATCACTTTTAACGAATTTACCATACACATCGTATCGTGAAAAATAATATTCCAACATTGAAAAAAATCCAAGATCGCGATTACTTTTCATCAAGGAAAACGAAAAAGAGGAAAATCTTCTTCGCGCCGTTCGTTTCCCCGTTTACTTATTAGGGGACACAATTATGAAAGAAGATTGAACCGAGAAACTCGGCGCAGATAATCTCTTAATATTTTATATATACTCGAGAGACTCGATTTTCCGAGGGTAGAAATTTCCAGGAGTTTCGTTGCGCAAAAATGCAAAATGCGTTGCAAAATCGTTACCTTCGACTCTCATCGACGACGCCTTCTTCACCAAGCCTGGCAAAAATCTGCTACGTACGAAAATATACCGATATACTTCATCCGTCTCCCCCTCTCTCTCTCTCT